GTGTAAAAAATGCGATGGACGTGCGAAGACGACGACGACGACGACAGAACTGAAATAAAATCATCTCGCTCGCCATTTCAATACGCCCTGATCTCGTGCACTAATCGTATTGAACTTGGTGGCAATCGCTTCAGAACCTTCAATTCCTATAGTGCATGTATCAATAACTTTTCCTCATATATAGCGGTTCATAAGATATTTAGTTCCAAACACAGGTATAAGGAGTTGACTCGAGTAAAGTCTCGGCGCTCTGCGCCCTGTACAGCCGGTTGCCTGTACTTAGCGCGAGACTCGACCGAGTCTCTTTCATAGACTGCGCAGTCTCAACAGGGGCACCCTCCTGCATAAGCTCTCGCCATTACCTTACGCTATATTACCGGCAGATTTTAGTTACCATAGCAGTCGATGTTTTTGTCGCATTGTTTACCACGTGTCGTAACGCTATAATGTCTCAGAAGTTTCGACAAAAACCTATAGATGTCAAAAGGTCTTTTCACTATTATCTTTCATTAAAAAATTCCCAGCAAAATAATGCTATGAGAAGAAATAAACTGAAGGAAAGTATACAAGATATCTAATTACAGTAAGAAAAATATTAAGCACTCATGTAAATCAACATTAAATGGAATAAGGTAAAACTCCACAATTGAAAATCATACCTTTTTGCTTACCCTAGAATGCAATACTCTTTCAAGAAACACAGAGAACCATTAAACTAAACGTAAAGTCATACGTTCAACGGGAGTGAAAATTATGTATCCAAGATCCACAAACATTCTTGGATAAAACCTTAACAGAAAACACGAGTAAAACGTATTCGAATCCCATAATGATCAAAAGTCTCGAATAAATCAAATTAATTATTAAAGTAGAGTCACGGCACGATCCGAAATTTATGACTAATTCCGGAATACGCATGAATCCAACGATGAGAAAGAAAGAAGAAAAAAGAATCCATGCTTCATATTCTTTTAAGTACACATCTCATACACATACAAATGCATACAACCAAAGTCCTCCGAAGTTACACAAAGTAAAGATGTAAATCGGTTAAAAGTGCTTTGGGCCCAATAAATTCGTAATGTCTTTACAAACACAAAGGACAAATACGTATATATACATACATTCGGATAAATGGACTTAAAAGCATACCACCCGGTATATGAAAAAAGAATGATAAAGCTAGACTGATTTAGACTAGTTGAAAACAACATGTCCCTCGCATCTTCTGGTTGGTGAACAACACCAATGCTGTATTCGTCATAGTTAATGCACTTTTTATCTAAATGGACCAACGTACAGCCAATGGGAGACACTATCATAAGAAAGTCACCAATCCATCCGTGTGTTCGTTCATCCATTCATCTCCGTATCTCTCTCTCTCTCTCTCTCTCTCTCTCTCTCTCTCTCTCTCACACACCAAAAATCAGCCGGTCAAGTTTTAGTCTAAGACTTTTACTTTTAAACCTATAGTCATTGTATGTCATGATAAATCACTAAGTGGTCGGATGATAATTAATGGCCGACGTCATTCACGGCGTTATGTATACGCACATACGTGGATACGGAGATTTTAAATTTTTAATAATTTCAAAAATAACGATACTTATGGATGACTTAAATTCCTTTGTACCTCAACTGTCAATAATGACGGACGACGATTTTATCATTATCTGTATGTAACCTGTTTTGATTTCAAGTGCAAACGCAGCTAGTGCGGTTGTAGACGTTTTATTGATTTCTCTGTGAGAGCGAAGAATTGCGCAATCAATAACAGATTATTGACTATAGATATAGTGGTATCAAGGTCGACTGCATCTGGTAGCCTCGAGTGGCAATGAGATTCGAAATGATCTGTCCAAAAATATAGATCGTCCACTTATGATCGATCCACAAGTAGAGGACGGCCTTATCGCGCTGTTACAGTATATCGGGTAATCTAAAGTACGGAGTAATAAAAATTTCGAATAAAATCAAACAAAGCGATAAATAATTAACCTTTTTTTTAAGGTTACGGAAAGGACCAGAACAGTTTTTGGTTCGTCAGCAGGATTCGGAATGGGAAATTTCGTAAAATTAATAACCGACAAGATTTTGATGTATTAATTAATTTTGACGATTGGGATCATTTTTTTGGTCATCGATAATTGTTTTATTCTTTTGATGACTTTTTGACGGCAACAATTTCGTATTGTCCTTCGATGACGGTGATTGTTTTTTTCTTGGAATTGTCTGTAAATTACATCACGACAATCCGATAAGTGAATGAATTTTTTTTTCATTAATTCAATTATTAAATTTTTTAATTACCTTTCGTAACAGTATCTCGTTACGTGCATTTGGTTTTGCAACTAAAACGTTCCAAGCGTTTCGTTCCCGCCACCAAATCCTCTGATACTCGTTAGTAATTAGCTGGTCCATGCTCACACGACAATCTCTGTATATAAGTTTGTGTAATAAATAAGTTCACGGGGTCCACAGGAAATAAGTGTCAAGACAAGGAATTAAAAAAAAAATTAGAATAATACATAAATATATCATCAAGCGTAGAAAGTGTGTCGCAAGTGTAACGAGTCAGAAGATTTAGACGCGATTTTATTTCGTAATAAAGGACCGTGTCGAAATTAAAAGACATCGTCAAAGGTGTTCGCGTAAAATTCAAAATGTCTACGGCTAAGAAGGTAACCCGCTTCCTACGTACAGTAAGAGGCACAGGCCGCGATTGGATTTCGTTGAGAGATACGAGGAGGTTAGAAAATTAAATGATTCGACGTATTAGGACACAACGTAATTTCACATAACAGACGTTCTTAAGAACGACTATAATGAACAATAAAATAAAACGAAAGTGCAGATGACGATATACATAACTAATAAAGGGTTATGAAAGTTACTTACGAATCGTAGGACGGCATGAAAATCTTTCGATTGACGTAATCCGAAGAAATGATATTGTCCGGTTTTCGAATGCCCAAAGCAGGCTGCCACGTTGGACGTTTGACTGGCATTCTCGTTAAACAGTCTACGAACCAATGAGTAATTACATATTTTGAAAAGTCCTGCTCGCGTTACGTTATTAACTTAAAACAAAAGACAGTTGTAGTAACGTGAAGTCAGGTTCGAAAAGGTACGTACAAATGTAATGTATAGGATGATTCTCTGAATGATGAATAATTTTTTTTATTCGATTATACGAATTTCAGTTGGTACTGTGACTGTACTTACTGTTGTGAATTTCACGGAAGTGCAGTTGTCCGTTTTGGCGCGAATAGTCACTGAATTCAAAATTAAACGTGACGAACATATTTTTTTAACTTTATGGTTCTTTGGCATAAGTATGATATGTACCCTGCCCAATTGTATATATATATATATATATATACTCTATGTATATATAATAATGGACCATTCGAGCTCTTACCTGCATCTGGAAAACAATGCAGCTTTCTTTCTGTATCACGGTAATTCCAAGTTCCGACGGTATTTTATAATTGTACAAAATGCCCAATTAACTCTATCCCTAGATCCGATCTAGTGATCTATCCTTCATGGATCCTCGAGCCATAAGCACACCGTTGCCCTGTATCCGCAATTATTTAGTTGCGACTAACGTTTAAACTAATCACCGGTCTGCTACTATCTCGTTACTACTTCTCGGAATCGATAGATTATCTATATTCTACTTAGATTTAGGTTAGGTTAGCTTTTTGGATGGATAAAACAAAAGTAATAAAAAAATTTCACTCTCTAACCTCAATCTTTGAAGTGTACGTTAAAAAGTCTAAAATTGTCATATTCGAATCTCCAAATATTACGAGTACAAAAATTTGATATATATATATATATACATATAGATTTTCAATCGGAGTTATATCCAACAGGTTATACAATGCTCCGTAGCCATCGGATGCTTTCTCTTTCTCATAACCCTGCATTGTGCAGAGGGTAATTATGGGAACACGTAAAAATATTCCGAGGACTAGTGTTTCTAGTCTGTTGTCGTGAAGCCAATCAAGTCTGTAGTAGACAGTAAGAAAATGCTATTGAAAAAGAAAAAAAATAGTGTCTGGATACTAACCACTTCGAAGTTGTTCGGTCGGTTGACTGACTGGCTTATTGCATAATTGGCAAAGATCTTTCTAGACACGTGTGTGGTATGACTAATGTATAGAGAAGTACATAATTGAAAAATATATAGGGTGTCCGTACGTGTATGACCTCTGAATAAAAATACCCGAATAAAATAGGCCCTATGTGTATTATCACGATGTCAGACAATAGCGTCGTCAGGATATTAATACAGCGTCGAGATCCGTCAGGGTAAATTTTCATCGCGTAACGTTTTGAATATTTAAATTGCCACGGTTGATATGGTCTCGGGTTAAATCGAAATTCGTCTAATCTTTCATTTGGGCACGGTGCACCGTTGACATAAATGGTCTTCTCATCGGCGTCGACATCTTGGCTCCCATTGTTATCTTAATGAAATTTGTAATGGCGCGGGCTTTGGTCGTAATACCGTATTAAAATTGAATTAAACTTGCCGGGTCGTTTCAAATATACTTATGAGCTTCTTGATGCTACCACTCGCCGACCGAGTGGCGCTGTTCGCGACAGTTTTATTTGTCGTTGCAATTCCTTCAGTCAGAATTCGAAAGTCTTCTAAGACTCGGTGCATCCGGTGGCAGCCATCTTTGAAATGGATTGACAACGTTCTCTAGCATACTATGTTTTACACCAAGTGTACGTTTCTTGTTAGTTCACAAAGTACAAACGAACAGCCCCTCATTCGCATTGTTAAATTATCCAAAAGCTATGTATAATTTTTGATTAACTCAATGATACAAGAGCGTTTCACACAGAGGCCATTAACCTAGGACCTTGACAGTGATCGAATGTATATACATGAGATACACCAGTGCAAGATCTCTGATATTATCAATTAGGCATTTCAACAGGTAACTAGAGAATAGAGATTCGTGTAACAAGTGACAGGTATCCGGTACAGTCAACTATAATAAAATAATCATGCAATTTTTGCGTATACAATAGTTGCAGGACAATAAAGAAATAGTAAGAAAATACAACTGGAGGTCTTAACGGTAAGTGTACTCATTCTGTAAAACGTTAGAGGTCCCATGGTCAAGTTATTTATAACGCACTCTTTTTTCTAGGTCGAAATAAATCCAAATGAAAGGTTAGATTTGATTATACGTATAGATATACTTACAGTACAGTCCCTATGGTATCATCGGCGTGAGAGCACTAGTCATTTTCTAGTAATTTTATGTTTCGTAATTCGAGAAGCATGTTACGAATTTTCACCAGACCAGGTATTTCCATAATGTACGAGTGCCGAAAAAAAAGTACGGAAGGTGTTGTAGCTGTAATTCGAATTTACACGAGTTCGACATACTTTATGTTGTACATAGATTCTATGTGGAATTGCGCAAGGGACACAGGTGATGATAAAGAAATATTAGGATTGTATACTACCGTAATACGAATTGGGGCCTGGTCGCTCGTGACGGGGCCTTGTTGTCCAGACCATACGAAACAGTTTGGTATACAGTCCCGTTGTTCGGAGGTAAGAAAAGTGTTTTGAAAAAAAAAACGATATAAAAGGAACGAAAAGATCGGAGAAAAAAGTTGCCTAACTGCGTGTCTAAGAGTTTAGATTATCTGTAGTTATCCTAACGCTTTACTTTTTTTTTTTTTCGGAGATCGACCTCCAGACATTGTTCCATTTTCATATTTTATTATATATCGTATACCTATATTTATGTTGCTATGGCCCGTTTTATTACATGGTATTTTTGAGGGGCCATGTTCTTAGAGCTTGCTACGTAAAAGAGTCCCCTGTCATCGCGCTTCACTCGTGGATTGACTATACGTATAGTCAATAGTCACGCATGACGATGATTGTGAACTAAGTAGCATGAAGTAGTCGGGCCCTTTTTTATCCCTGATTTGTGCATTATTGATAATGGGAGATATTGTTAGGTCCCATAACGAAATATCGGAGTATTCATTCCATTCGAGCAAGTTCATTTTTCAATGATCATATTATGATTCAATTATTAAATAATTTAACAATATCAGTTAACCAATCGACCATTGTATCAATACCAAGCCTATAGTTTCTGAAACGAATGAAACTCACGATTATACTTAACAAATTAATCACTTAATAACTACACAGTTATGCTACGATGATTGCGTGACTAGGCAGATTTATAAGCTTCTGACATTGGGCCAGCAATGTGTAAGCGCTTGTTAATATCCCTAGACATAGTTTGACTTACCCGAATAACGATTTCGAACTTTTTGTAAATAATCTGCATTCCATTCGATAGACGTGTTGTGCAGTCTTAGATTTCAGAATCTGATTATGCACGAGTTCCAGATAGCAAAAATATACAGACCAAAGGGCGTTAGTCTTGTATGCCAAATAAATCAATTTAGACCGGCAAGTATCATCTGGGTGATTCTACTGATCCTAACCGAAATCTAATGAGATTCACCAGTGTCGAGGTTGAAAATACGACCGCTAGATGGCCAAATGCGAAGTAACTGAGTCTCAACTTAACTTAATTAATTATTATTGACTCAATTGTATAAATCAGGCACTAAAGTTCTCACTCAAATGCATATGTATTTGGGATTAGTATACATACATGTATTAAAACGTAGAATGGGAACAACCTTAATCCTTTGGAACACTTTGAGTGACATCATATCGGCGTCTTCGATAGCCATTTATTATGATCCGGTCAGAGCGCTCTTCATATCAAGCACATTAACCTCTACAGGGCCGGAGGGTAATTATTGCTTCTCATCCTTTAAAAACCTTAAAAAAGGAAAAAAGATATTTTATATCAATCGTATAAAAATTAATCATCTTTGGGATTTTTTAGGATGTCTTTCACACTTCTACAGGCTAACGACGATCGGATTTGAAATTTGGACTACTTTGCCAAATTTTTGGTGGGTTTTATTCGTTCGTAATTGTAATTGAAAAATGCATTTACGCTGTCCTACGGATTTACATGCCTGAACTATAAGGATTGGGTCACTTAGAATGGACAGGTATGTTTGAGCTAACGGTATTTTGATTTGAATTCTTTATATTCGTTTTGGCTTAACTGCTTATCTAAGACAATTAGATACTCCGAGGGAACATTTCAGTTGGATTTCACTTATATTTGGGCATCCTATTTTCAATAGCAAGAGAGAGATTTTGTCGAGTTAAATTTTCTTGGCTGTTCGAATTTTAATTTTTCACCGTAGAGTTGCGTGCGCGACGATTAAAGATCCCAATGCCAAGATCGTGCAGGATTGTATGTATAAGGCCATAAAAAACCAGGATGTGTTATACCCACTACGAGTCACAGCCATCTACAGATTCATTGACCTGGTCTAAGTCTTACGATCTAAGCTTGGTGACGTTGACCCAAATTGTACAAAGAGTCGGTTAGTTGGAAGAATTTTACAAGGGAATAAGTACACAGAGAAATAACCTCAGTAACAGGTATACTTATGAAAAACGGCAAAATCCAAAGTGCTTGTACATCTACAACGAGGAGCGCATAGGCCTGTTTTTGTTTCACCAAATGTATGCACCTAATTGCAGTGTTGCCCCACTCGATGAATCGAAAAAATAATTGACTACGTAGTAAAATTCATAAAAAATCATGACGGAAGCTAAATAAATTCTACGTTTATCCGAGCCTTAAATATGTCCTATTAAAATAATTGCAGGAGCATTAAAATATTTAAAAAGTTATTTATAACAATCGAATGGGTCGTACAAGGAGGAAGACGTTAAAAATATAAATGAACAACAGAGATATCTGCCTGTGTTAATAAAACGAATTAATAACGTACACGGCTATGGACACTGATAAAATAGAAACAATATCATGTGTATCGTACCATTGATACCGTTTGAATGACATAGAATTTTTGTATAATAGATAATTAACTGCTTATCGCAGTCAGACAAAGAATTTCGATTGTTTTTAATTGCAAGAATATTTTACACGTGTAATTACACTTCCGTGATATAACTTGACACAAAGAAACGGGCGAATTTGTTTCCTAAAATCTGCTCGGAGGCTGCTGTAATGTAAAAAAATAAGATGAAAAAAAATAAAACGAACATCGATAGGCCGTTGCGTGGTACATAAAAGATTTTGGATTTTCTGTAGGCGAAGCACTGACGTGAAACTTGGAAGTCAAGAGCTTTACAGTCAGATGACATGCGATGTCCAACTTAATGTTAATCACGAGGACATAATAAGAATTTCAACGATTTCATTATAGCGATACCAGTCAAGAGAGATTATGCATAATTACACAAAACGGCGTAAACTAAGAAGGAAGTAAATATAATTATGAGTATACACAAGTTGGATAATTAAAAAAAAATATATATCTATACATACGCTACCGCGTTATCCTACTTAATTCTTCGTTACGCAATTTCCAATAGAAATCTCTTTGCGTATCTCATGCACGTTCGAAAAAGCGCCTCGCGACGAGGTGACGATAGAATTTCGAAAAGAGGAGAAAAATTACCAAACTACAATCGGTACGAGTTTACACAGAAAAATATTGCGCTACCGAGAACCTCATGGTATAGAAACAAAAAAAAAAAAGAACAAAAATTCCATACCATTCCCAAAAGCATAGACCTACTATACATAAGCTGTAACTGGTCCCATAGTGAAACGACCTGTATATCAGCAAGCTAATAGAAACAAATGATCATGAACGTCTTTCTTAATACATTACACCGTATCATACCGTACAGGCTGTTACATATCAAGTATTCAAATGGTGTCGTCCGTGTCAAACAGGCACCATTAATAGGTAGGCAAACATCTATATGAAAAGAATACACAGGATACCCAAGTCTCCTCTGGCTACTGTACAAACATGGTTACCTTCTATTTGTCACAACAGTTTCTGTTTGCTCAGGTCTCCCGAAAAGATTTTCGACCGCGACTCCATTTGTCGAGGGCACGTGACATTTGCATTTTCGACATTATTTACAGGACGCCGCCGTAGCCTACGTGCGTATGCATACCTACGCGTGCATATCTCCACGCATGGATACATAGCCCCGTTATGTACTACATGCTAATACATATATATACACATCAGTGAAGTTATCCCTTTACCGAAAGCCGGTGTCGCTTCTATGCACAATAAATGCACATACGTAACGTGGTCAATATTGAAATCCTGTCGATAGATTTTCCAAGAATTTTTTCCAACCACTATTGATCGTTCCAAAAAAAAGAAATACTCGATTCTTCATTAATTATTTAATATCTCGTTACTAACCTGCGTCTGGTATCGTAAGCGTACTTCAGACCGGTATAAAGCGACGCGCCTGTGATTACCGTAACAAAGTAATTTAATTAGGGTACACGTCATGGCTCCGTGCGATACAGCCGACCTGCTTACAGTCTAACAGTTCTAACCTTTTCGAAAGTACTTCCTCAGTCGGTAAATTAGGTATTTCGGTAGCGTATGCGATTTTTTAATTTTATTTCGATATCCTACGCTTTTGCGATACATGCGGCGCATCGCAATCCGCTTTCAATTCGCCACGAGTCATATTGAAATAGTTGATTAATAACGTAACTAGCAGTAGTATGCCTAGCGTCGACTAACGATACAATTTTCGACTGTGGCTTGAGGTCGTCAGTATCAATGTATTACGGGCCGGCTGCTCGTCTCTAATTCGAATATTCTTAATACAATTATCTACTAATGGGCATACCTGGCACTGCTGTACAAGCAGTGTTTGCCCTGTAACGAAAAAAGAAAAATATTAAAATTTTACTACCTGCCATAGATCCATATGTTGTATACACGTTAGTAATTATACAGTCAGGAATGTGTATCCTTGGTATTTACATGTAACAATTTTTTTACGTACCTAATTATATATATGGATATATTGTGTATACGCATGTATGTCTATATACGGAATGCTAAGTACCTTCCGCTTCATCTCTACTCAAAACGTGCGTGCCTCTGCCTTTAATAAATTATCCAAGACGTTCGCACTTGTCTTGAGAAATTCTTTCGGAATCCTAACTATTAGCGACACGTCAATACGTTTTGTCATAACAAATTGCGCCTTCCAAAAGTCACGCGATTTCGACCAGACGGTCACAACGGTACCAATTGATTTTTAAATATATTCTTTATAACTATGTACGTATATAATGGATAGCGCATAAACACGCGAGATTTTAGTATCGTCGTTCGATTATGATGTATGAATAAATGAATATATGTATATATATATATATATATATATATAACGTATTATATATCATATAGCAATTGCATAAACGCAAGTTCATCCTATAGCCACTGGTCATGCTTTAAAATGGTAGGGATAGGCAAACCCGTGTGTCGCGTGACATTTGAAACGTTCCTACAGGTGTTCTGTTACCGCGATATACATAGGACGTATTATATATCATATAGCAAGAGATTTTAGTATCGTCGTTCGATTATGATGTATGAATAAATGAATATATGTATATATATATATATATATATATATAACGTATTATATATCATATAGCAATTGCATAAACGCAAGTTCATCCTATAGCCACTGGTCATGCTTTAAAATGGTAGGGATAGGCAAACCCGTGTGTCGCGTGACATTTGAAACGTTCCTACAGGTGTTCTGTTACCGCGATATACATAGGTACGCGTATCCTTGATGCAATAACAATTTCTTTTTTTTTTTTAACATTACACCATCATTCGCAGTCTTTGAACGCGACGGGTACGCGCGCCGTAACGAATTTTTACTTTGCGCAAACTCGCAAAGTGACACTAAACGCAAGTGCAAAGTGTTTAGCACCGGGGAAATAGATTTTCTCGGGTGCAATAAATAGGCTTTATCCGGGTCGCTAGATTCCTGTGCACAGTATATCTATTTATATGAGTGAATACATGGCGCGTCACGTGTAACAAAAAAAAACGTAGTGCAACGAAAGAAGATGAGACAAAAGTACTAAAAATATTCGTTACTTTCGATATCATCGTCTAATTTGACAGACAGAGCGATATTGGGTTTCAAGTATTATCGAACGTCATCCAATTGAAAAAAATGGCACGTACTTCATAAATGGTTGAAATTTAAAAAAAAAAACTGACCGAAGTCGTATCCAGGAAAGAAGTACCGTTTTTATTTGACAATTTGTTTCGGAGACTTAAACATTTACCTTTGGGTCCCTTACGTGTCCATTGGTATGCTGGTATCCTTCGGTATGTCGCAGGAATACTGAAACATATTAAACAAAGGAGATTTCATTATTTTCCACGTAGCCTCGAACCAGCCTGCGATAAATTCTATGCCAAAGGGATGTCAGTTAAATGGAATTGATAAGGTGGGTTAAATTTAAAAAAATTATAAATCATAGTTTTTATGCTCAACGATGGCAACGAATATATATATGTATGTATATCAATAGTAATAAGGTTAATGTATCACGTGTATGACGCAACGTTCGGTCTCCACCTGGTTTGTGATTTATTTAATCAACGCGTATTGACAAAAACGCTCGAAAAAGATACACAGCTACGCCTAATATACGTATTTCAAGATCATCGTAAAACGTAGGTAGTTTCGAAAATAAACAAAAAGTGAATCTTAAGGCACTTCGGATATTACATTAAGTATACATATATCAATGTGTAGTTGCGCGACTGAAGCTATGTCATTTGTACAACCGCCTTATGGTAACTCATGCGGGGGTAATATAATGGATATACATATTTCTTTTTCTTTCACCTCCGATTCTATCCCCTTTTAGAGGTCAAGTACCGGCTGTATAATACTTTAGGATGGCCAATTAAATTTAGACAGGCTACTTTCCGAAATACACTACCAGTATTCGATGTCCTTATTAGTCCTGTCTGCACCTGAGAGGGACGATAATACTGGCAAAATTGTTGATCAATAAATTCTATCGAAATGAGTATCATGTCTCGTTAAAAGTAAATTTCACAAACTTTTAAGTCAATCACATTAAAGTTAGTTATAGCGATAATAAATGATATATATATTTGTACCTTTTTATTATTTAACCTTGAAACTCTCTATCAACTTGATTTACATATACGGGCTTTTATAAATTAAATAAACTTGCCGAATCGCGTGAGAAAGCGGCACACTACGTGTAATCACTGACCATCGAACGAAAGCTGATTTATGGGGACTTTAAACGATCATGCAGAAAAAAAAAGGTTAAAAATTCATTGACGATAAGTGATCAATGATACGTTTGTTTATCGCACGTATTTCTAGGTAAATGCAAATCGTATGGTATCACGTATCTCTCTCTTAGCCGTGAACGTACTATGACGTTATTTGGAGGTTAGCTATGAGATTGATTTTTTTTTCAGTTGGACACGTAACGACGATGAACGAGGTATTAAAAAGCTTTTGGGTTAGACGATATGAGAAACATATAAAAGCCTATCGAACATACGACAGTTTCCTTGGGACAAACTTAAGGCGGCCTACGTACGTTCAATAATGGAAACGTAACGTTTGGATAAATTCAAATAAGCAAGAGTAAAAAGGGTACCGCTTTGTTCCTGACGTAACTTACGGACCTTGTTTCATTGGTATATTGAGCCTAATTTAATATGTACAACAAAAATTTAACCGGATGTAACAATTGACTTCACTACAGGGTGTGCTCGTAGTTTATGCAATATTCCTAACCTACAAAACTATTGAACGGACGTTACACGCGTACGTAACGGCAGTGAATCTTATAGCCTACGATTTTACAGTGAACAATCGTATGAGTCGTATTTTTTTTCCTATTCACCGAATTACTATAACACGAAACGAGCGAAAAACGGGAAATGAAAGCAGTGACAGTTGGACGTATGGCTTCTACACACCCGAGTATATAATTGGCTCGTGCCTGATCTTGCGCTATTATCTTATACTAAGTCCATGACAGAAGAAAGGGAAAAAAAAGAAATGTACAAGATGAAGGATAAGGAATTGAAAGACAAAAAAAAGATTCACCCAATTCCGGCGAACCGGTTGTCGAATGATTGATTTAATATTATTTAATTATAATTAATGCGCGTTATCTGGTAACACGTATGACTTATTATGATCATGTGAAATGCTCGGCATCGTGGCCCACGCGATGTTACATCACGATGAAATTATACGAAAATACACTATAAAAAGAAGTGTTTAGAAATATTAGCATATATTGAAAATCGATTTATTAAATCGATCAAATCAAGTAGTGTCATTGAGAATTTAGTGTTTCACTCATTTATGATTATGATTACATTCTCCAGCGGATTCTGATTTGGTTGATGTAATTTTTTTTTAGTTCTACAACCTTGATGTAATTAAATCATTAAGAAGAGTACATCAATTAGTTTAAAAATGAAAAAAATTTTGACAAATAATTTACTATACCGAATTACCACGTACACATATGGAAACACGCGGAACAGCTTTGCTTTGTGTTATTCTGTTTACGTGAGCAAAAGGAGTCTAAGTAAAGGAGAATTAATGAGAGGAATGAAGAACGTCCTATTGTCTCGTGAAGAAAGAAAAGAGACAATAATAATCTCGTTAAATGGGTAGAAAAGCAGGATCGTGGCATCGCAATGGAAGCGTATGGAAACCCGGTGTAAGAGTGGAGAGGGTCAGTCAGGCCACATGGGAGGAGTTCTTGAGTTCTTGAGAGAGGCTGCAAGGAGCAAGGAGTGCTCTGCTCACCTGAAGTGTTCGGGTTGGCAGTTGCCCTACCGAGGCGATCCGCGACGGTTTCATCTAAAGTCCACGTATCCGATCGGCTCCTGGAAACTGTCTGACGCCCGGTAGCGTTCAGGGTCTAGTAAAGTAGTACGGGGCCGTTGATTGTGACAAAAAAAACTCAAAAATTCATTCGCGATACGAAAGAAAAGGGAAAAGATAGAAAAGAATTTATAGATGATTAATTCTAGAGAGTTGCACTTTTTAAGTTCGAAAGGGAAGCATTGAGCAAGACTGATTACATTCCTATGTGAATTTTGAAAAAAAAATTTTTGCTTGGAAATTAGAGGAAATTACGAGAAAAAAAACGGCCCAAGATATATTCTGCGAATATTACGGGATAATTGAATTTTGGATTTGAAAATAAATTTTTTTACGTCTTGTACTTGGGATCGATACGTGATCAGTGTTGTGATCCGTCGTGGAATGGTGGAATACGAGGATATGGAGAGTGATTGAAAAATTATCTTCCGGGAATTCAACTGATCTGGGAGATGATGGGCGAAGTAATAAGAGTTTCCGGCCGGGCACCGGACGTTGGGGATTTCTTGCGTGAGGCCATGATATCACAAAGATTTGCGGATGTTGCTTTATGCTGTCCCGGTGGACAAAGATTTCTTGCTCACCGTTTGGTACTTTCTGCTGCCAGTCCATATTTGCAAGTGAGTCTCGATTTACTCGGCAATACATAATAAACGTACGGAAAAGCAATAATTTTTCCTCCCGTAAAATATAAACAAATCATTATTTATACTCGTTCCCCTTGACTTAGACGAGTAACGATAGAATTCAAGTTTGTGGTTAAAAAATATAATTCCAAAATTATTAATTCCTATACCGTATCGAACAGTCAATTATATTATACACAGCTTATCGGACCGTTACTGTATCCTTGTGCAATTTACAATGGAATCACAAAACATTGAAATAAAGATTTAATACAATCGAACACAAAAGACATTGATCTCTCTCTCTCTCTCTCTCTCTCTCTCTCTCTCTCTACGATCTACGATCGAATCGTATAAAAGTGCGAATAACGAAGAAATGTAAGTCAGAAAGTTCGAACTTTCTCCGATAGCATCACTTATAAAGACGATATGAGAACAATTGATAATTGATAAGCAAAGTCTTGTGCGTTTGAATTGCAAAAAGTGCATGATCTGACAGTAGACCGAAAGCACGTGATAAAAAAAGTCAATGAAAAAAAAAGACTTGTAATAACCTCAAAAGCAATTTTTCATAAAATCATCATGACAACGATGGAAACAGTCTGGTCCTTTCTACATCGTAACGAAACGATCTAAACCTAACGGTGTCAACATGTGGGTCGTAAAAATCTATTGGCCTTCGTTAATCAAACAAATAGAAACGTATCGAGCGATACCAATAATTCCTTTTTTTTTCTCAAATGCGGTCTTCGATATCGGGACCTATATCGTGGATGATCAAACTCCGATCAAAGGACGGCAATTAAAAGACAGGCAATCCGAGCACAGGACCTGGACAAAACAACCGTTTGATCTTGATAAAAAGATGGTCGACAAATTAACAAGATAAAATCCATCATGACAATATAACATAGTAAAATCTCGATGACTTGTCTCGACTTCGAAATCACGTTTGTTGCTTTGTAAAAATTCACGTGATGCACAAGACACACATAGTCAAGTGTACAGCCTAGAAATAGTTGAATTTTGAAAATCTAACAAAATAACATAATTTTCCTAGAAAATTTCATACACCAAAATTTCAATTTGTTGTCGCATTAATAATTTCCCATTTGTCCCTTAACCTCTCTTACCCATTTTCACCTGTCCGATCTTCCTCTTGCTCCCATCCAACGTCACATTTTCCCCTCAATACCGTTAACGCAGCCGCGCGTTTTCTCGCCACACGTTTCCTTCACATGTCCCGGTACACATGAAAACAAAGAGAAGCGCACTTAAAATCTTTGCGTCACATTAAAAATACTCACAAGCGCCTTCTTTTTTCTTTTTCCCCAATACGTCGCCCGTATAACCTAACGGAAAAGTCTAACGAGATATTTTAAAGATGGCGGCGAGCCCGTTAACATCAAAGAGGACAGACACTCGAATCAATTACCAACTACGTTACTCAGGGAACTGGGTCAGCTGGTCCAACTAATTAGAAGTGCATACACATACAATAATAAATACAGTCCACGTTATCTCCCGTCTACAGTAGTACGTGGTAATGTACTAGATCCATTCAGAAACTACATAACCTATAAAATTCCGAGGTAAATACCTGATAACGATAATGACTATATTCGTCAAGGAATTATAGCTCAATTTATAAATCAGTAACATCCCTGTAGACAAATGACTTTTACGATTACGTACTTATCATTAAAACTTTACGATTACGTACTATCGTACTATCATCTTCTTATCATTAAAATTTATTCCATAATAAATTATTCATAATTGCTGCATACTTCCGCGGATAAACAGTCTCGTTAGTCTTATCAGAATCTTCGTCCGGCATGATAGTAAATCATATCGTTTCTATTTCCTTATATCTATTTAGGTTATACAAGTCCCACAATACTAAAAATAGTATCGTTCCTGTTAATGCGATATGACCGTGACTTTCTACTGCGAGTCTCGTATTATCTTTACGTTAATAGACTCGTGGCTTACGCGTGCAATTTCTGGTACTCTCAGACACATTGTAGTGCTAGGTGCTACGCACGAAAGTCATTGTAAGCGTACTATACGTATGTACCGCTTAATAACACTGGTGCATTAGACACTATATTCGAAGCAGGCTCGCAGCGTTCTATAAATATGAGTATTACATTTTTTTTTCTCTTCAAATACGGTTTTCCGCATATCCCGTAAAGAGAAAGCATGGTAACCCGTGAGAATCGTTGCAATCATTACAATCATTAATATTACGATCGCGAAGCAAAACAAATAATTATAATGAATATAAACACCGGTATCATCATCCACCTGCAGATATCGTCATTGGTATCGATGAACTAAATGACGAATATATTAGTCACCCATGTAACAAGTGTATATTGATTGTCTAGTCATTATGAATTTCTAGCCGATTAGAAAGGTTCGATGGTATTTCGATCGAACGTCGCGATAGGACGTATTGACGTTTACGTTACTATTAATAGTCAGCGTATTTAGTTGATAGAGATATTTTCTTGATTAATTTCGTGTCGCTGGGTACGTTAAATACTTAATCACCAGATCGCGTCTCGCTTCTTGTTCTCTTCACAATTTCCTTACGGACGCTGATTAGAGACCCTGGCTAAATGAGCTTTTAATACGTAAACCAAATTCACGATAAAGAAAATGACCAATCGGATAATCGTGTACGGTGCAAGGCATCGCGGGTAACGTTAAGAAATTCGACCGCGGACAGTTCGTTTAATTTTAAAGCTTTTGCAGTGGGACAGAGAGTCAGTATAGTCATTCTATTAGATACCCGGGAGAGATCTATAGCCGTAACGTAGAGCGTCGTACCGTGTAATTTAGTGAAAGAAAAAAAAAATAAATAAAAAGAAAAAATATCTCAACTTCACACTGTAAACCACTATGTCATACACGGAATTATAAGCATCTAAATATGATTAGGTAAATTAATCATTGAAATTGGATGGCGATTATCGCGAGTACATAAACACGTATCAATAATGACGCAAGAATGGTCACTTGTTATATTAATTTGTAAGATCTATAACTCCGCGGATATAAAGATATACTTTTTTTTTCAAACAATCCAAATTCGAATAATGTCAAATCATCTAACGACGGGACATTAAATCACGCATACAGTATTGGAATTGTGTACGTCAATCTCTTCACAACGAGGACATAGTGTACAATCTGGTTGGGTCTTAAGTCCCCTAATCGTTTAATGGCTATGAATGTAGATCATAGGTATAGCCTAGTCAAATTATGTGATTGACTTCACTACAATGAGAAGTTCATTGCCGATTGGGGTTTTGCGTGGACATCGACACGGTAACGGTTGATCGATCTGGACATCGGTCGAGTATTTCCAAAGTAGCACTGCGGTACCAAGGATTATTTGCATCTGTTGTAACGTGTATTGTATGTTTATAATGCAGCGATCTAATTTATCGACGTTGCAAATGCAGGGGCTCTAATGCAATATACACTCTTGTATTATATATTGTATATATATATACATATATATACTTAGGGAGTACATTAATTCGTAAGGATCCGTGTCGGGCCTGGAGTCACTGTGAATAATACAAGGGGCCCAATGGGCCTTATACTGTACAATCACAATAGCGTAACACTTACCCGGTAGAGTGAGGATGATGACGGCCTCTCAGGCATGAAAGGTACTTGGACCCCGGGAGGGGCCTCGACAACCGCGTCTTAACAACGGGAAATTCTTGTGCGCGAAGAAAAGAATGAAAAAAGAGAGAATAACGCGAGAAAGAAGGAAGGAAAGAAATGGCGAAGAAGTCGGACAAAAAGGAAAATATTTTCCACGTTGAAAGGTGCTGGAAGAACGAAGAAGCATCGTGAGAGTGAACGTAATGAATCTTTTAGAAATTTTTTTTTTTCAGGGGAGAGAGTTTTTTTTATCTTTTACGTAAATTAGAAAAACAATTTTCGGTACTTTTAGGCCATTACGGCGATACGGTCGACGGCGTACGACAAGAGGTGTACTACTGGAGTGTCCGTGGTTTACGTTTGACCAGTGTCTTGATATGATACGTTAAAATAGTCGATTTGGATGAAAAAAAGGAAATAACTTTTGAGCCCCGATGAGAAACTCGAGGTTACTTCAAAGTTTGTGAAACCGGTTCAACTAGTTGTAAACTAGTCACGATCTTCTGAACCTGGCATTAAAAGGTACTCAAATGAGGTATCGTGCATGGATGATTGACGGCTAATGACATTAGACTACATACAGATACGCATATACATATCTAAGCATAGACGTTCACCAATTCAAAGCTACTATTCAAAGTTAGTCAGTCAATTGGACGTATACGGGAAAACCAACTTCAGTTAGTGATCTACTCGTTAGCCCCGTATATAAAAATAAGAGAATTTTTAATAAACTAATTTGCACGTTCAGTTATAAAAATCAATTTTTATTTGCTATATTATAGTCTCGTACCACTTCGAGATCCTTTTTTTTATCGTGCAATTCCGTATTTATCATTTTAAATGTCGCACAAGACATCTAAAATGGAAATCAAATTAGTGTAATTAATTCAGCGAATAGACTGGGCCGAGTCCCGAAGGGGACTGTTTATACCGAAACATTTCCATATGTGGATTAGTGGAGAATGTGGCTGCTGTGAAATATCGAGAGAAAAAAAAATGGAATAACAAGGAAGCTCTGATAAGTTTTGCCTTCAAAGTAGTTAGGTTATTTACGATTACGGTGATTTTGCGAAGTGATGGAATTTTTGCGCAGCACGACACGCGACGTCGTGGCTCCTTATGATATCGTCCAATGTGATTTTAACTTAAGAAACACTATAAAAACAAAAAATATTGCAATACCGTATTCAATTTGTATTCAGGATTCTCTGAAAATATTTAATTACCGAATGCTAATAAAACGTAGTAAATCGTATGAAATCATTTTTAACGTTATTCTGTAAACAAGTACGTTTAACCTCTGAACTCGAAATTTTAATAAGAAAATTAATTATGTCTGATGCTACTCTTTCATTCCTTTCATTTTTTCTTCCATCGTTCGCTCTTGGCAAAACAAAATTACCAACCGACCTATTAGGATCCGCCAGGCTAATTATACAATCAGACTATACAATCTTATAAAAAACATTCAAATAACTGAAATTCCTCGAAAATCCGTTATCATCGATATCGTATCTCGCTAATAAAAATCGCATCGATCGGACGTTTGGTAAATTCTTGACTGTATTTTGCAATTCTATATTACTCAAGAAATTAGCATAAAAGTCTCGTGTCACGAGAAGAGTGACCACAGCGGACGATAAAAAGTCAGATTATCGAAATCGTAAAATAAAACAGAAAGAAAATACAAGAGTAGTTAGAAAAATGGAGAAACAACACGAGTGCCAATCGCTATGTATAGCGTGCCGATATTCCCGAGCAAGTGTCGTTTTTCGTGTGAATCCATAACCTCAACGAGCATCACGTGTTACATTACGAATTTTCTCACCAAAAGGTGCGTCTATTCGCACGATTTTTATCAAGGTAAACAAGTAGGCACTATATATTTTCCATATTATGTGTATATGCTCTCGTACTGAAAATGTGTTTATGTAAAAGAGCGCGAACGTAATGAGAGTTCTCGGCGGTAGTGAAAAAAAAAGACATGAAAAAGTTAAAAATCAAATTGTAAACACGGCACATTAAACGGAATAACATATAGGTTTTGAAAATAAGTTGCAAGAAGAGATATTCTGGAAGAGATTTCTCGACGATAAATTCCAGAGCGGACACGGTAACAAGTGAAACGTAATGATACGCTTAAGAAAATAGCGCCGTATAAAGCGAAACCATCTATTTTACAAATAGTGGAAGACGTGTTCGTTTTCTATGGACTTCTCGCAGGTTCCGTAACGATATTGTAGTTGAGAACTATAATAGCATTAGATGGATGTAAAATATATTTTTATTTAATATATAATATACAGGGTGAGGCGCGAGAAACAGAACACCTAAATAACTTTATTGGATTTAAAGATACGGAGTTCGCAAATATCGGAATTTAAATGATTCGGAAGGGCGCCCATGGCTATCATAATATTTTTTTTTTTATTTCTTTTTTTACCAGTTTTTTCATGGTTATCAGAGTTTTTTTAAATGGAATGGCACATTTTTTCTCCTTGCACATTGTAGCCGGCATCGAAACGAATCCAACCATGTAACATAGTATGACCTTCAAAATGACCTCCAACCCAGAAATATGAAATTAAAACTAATTCGACGTGTTAGAGATTTGGCTTTATTTCTGTTACGCTAAATGTTCAAAATTACTCCCTTGCACGGCGATACATTTGTGAAACCGTGTAGTAACAGAATTTACTACTCTGTAGTTAATTTCTAATTTCGAAGTCTATCATGAACGACCAACCACTGCAGAGAACATGAAAGAAAGAATCACCAGGGCTTGTGCATCGATTTCTTTAGAAATTAACTACAGAGTAGTAAATTCTGTTACTACACGGTTTCACAAATGATATATGTATATATGTATATATTTATATAAAATATATAGATATATATTTTATATCCAGCCATTAATATTATTATTATTAATAATATTACTTTATTGCAATACAGCAATCCAGAGACTCGTCATCGTCGTCAGAATAAAATAGAATAAAATAAAACGCCGCTGAATTGGAAATACGATTAAGGTCGTGACAACGCGTCTTCCACATTGATTTCTGACGTTATTATGCAACGCGGACTATTAACGCGAATGCACACGTAAACCGTGTAACGTGAAATTGATAGGTGTACATCGGCACGTGCATTCGAAAGTAGAATGGCGTTGGCATTTAACTCAAGGGGTTAGGCCACTCCAGAGGCGAATAAAATAGGCTTACTTTGTCCATTTTTTTTTCAGCGGAACCACGAAATAAATTGGAATTACAAAATAAGACCATTATTATACAAGTAATAAACTACAAAAAATAATTTTTTCAATGCGATATACGTTAAAACAGGGACTGTGCAGCATTTCTCCGATGACGCCTTTATTTCTGGAGGGTAAACGGCCGTATGAACAGGTCCTGCAATTTTTAAGTTACGATGAAAAACCAAAGTTTTTTCGATTATTTACGAGAATAGCTATGGAAGTACGTAGGATTTTTTTCGATATAATGATTTTTGCCAAAATGGCGCATTTCTGAAAAAAAAAAGTATAAAATCCCATGAAAAATCGTCAGAAAATTATTCATAACAAAAGAACTATGCAACATAATGAAAAATGCTACGTACTGTCGTAAAGAATGTAATTTTAAATATACAGATGAAATTTGAAGTCGATCGGTCGAAATTTGTTTGAGTTATGATTCTGGCCAACTTGAAAAATGTAGTTTTGAGATAAACGTGTTTAAAGTTTGTAGAAAGTCAGAACATGAATAATGTTTCAATACCTAGAAAATCGAGTACATAGGGATTTTTCACGCACCTAATCTTTTGTAATATAATTCTATAGATACTAAGGTACCTTGTTAACAAACAAAAAAAAATCGATTTTTTGAAAATCCTAGAGTGGCCTAACCCCTTAACGATATTGACAGTCGGTTCGACGTAGGACGGTGGAAAAAATTAATTTTCACTTTTCGTATTTACGAGACGTGAATGACACCACGTTGCGAATTTGGTTTATTAAATTTTACGAAAAAAAACTGTTGGAGGCTGATAAAAGAAATATGAGAAAATAAATTATCGTTCGTTGAACGTACCACCGGTTCCTCGTAACAGCACTGACTGTACGATTGTGAGAATTTCCAAATTTCTGAACAGCACGAAACTTTTCACTTGACCTTTTCGAAAAGTTCATTTGGTCTCGTTACTATTTCGAACGTTAACGAAAAAAGAAAAAAATCCCATGCGCCACGTTTAACACAAAATTTATTACCTCAGATTGGTATCTGTGAGTAACATGACTTTAGTCAGTAGTGCTATGCTGGAATATCTTTCTACGCCAGATAGTCGAGTCTACCTGTCTCCCCTACATTGCATACAGATGTTACGTGTAAGGTGAACGGGAGCCTTTTAAGCAATGTTCACCGGCCGATCCTAAAACTCGTGGAAGCACCTGTACCATGAATCCCATTTCCTTTTTAACTAAGCAAGGCACGTATTTTGCGTGCTTCCATGAGAAAAAAAGAAAGAAAAAAAAATAACCAGAATTCACCGACCATTTATGCTTACAGACTCCATTTCCGTACGTCTTCCATGCGAATTTCGCGAGCACCGTAAATAAGCCGAAACGTATGGTAAAATTTGTATTTAAGATTTTTTTGTTCACTTTTTTTCCAGGAGGTCCTACTTGCGCACAGTCGTGCCACAGGACACTGCGAACCCATTACAATTATTCTGGCGGAGGTCGAGGGCCCCGAATTGGCGGCCATACTTGGTTTCGTGTATACCGGAAGCGCCGCGGTACCAAAGGGACGATTGGACGCGTTCCTAAGAGCCGCCAAGGCTCTGAGCATTAGATTGCCACCGCTACCGGAAATGATAACGTCTTGTATGGACGATTTAAAAGTGGAGGACTTTAAGGATGTCAAAGTGAACGCACGTTATCTTAGATGCGAGCAATATCCTTGTCATGACGGTTGGTGTCACGCGAGGACCTTCGACAGGAATTACTGTTCTCCAAATTACACGGACAAGTGTCATGGCGCGTTACCGATGTCGTGTGAAGGATCATTAAATAAAAAAATGTGTAACTCATCTAAGGACGAATCGCTCGATGCGTTTCCTGCCGGAACGACCGAGGCTCCTTACACAACCAGACGTACAAACGGCAGGATAATTTTGGAGAAGAATCTTAATCGTCTGGATTACCCGAAGGAACCGGTGAGCGAAAGAATTTTGGAAAATTCGGAAAAAATCAGCGAAACTCATTCCTTCGTAAAGATCCCCGAGGCCAAGGACTTTTCAATGGGATTGTTGGGAGCTTCCGGAAAAATGATGGATATTCACGAACTACCTGGAAACATTCAAAATCCATCAAGGATCTATGAATCATCCCGAGAGCCTGATCGCATCTTAGAAAATTTACTCGAGTCACGTGTTCCTACGATCCGATCCAAGGTCGATCTTAAGGATCGAGAAGTCTCTACGCTACAGATGGGCGAAGATTTAACCTGTAGCGAAAGATGCTGCAGATGGAAATATCAAAAGAGACACGTAGCCAATAGAGTCACAGCATCCCCATGGAGACAACTAGCTAGACCACATCATTCCCCAAAAATGCAACCGATAGTACTTCGAAATTATCCCGAAAGGGTGAGTAAAGCTTTCGATAAAATTTTCAAATTCAACAAAAATCATGACCCACTCTCGTTCCTACAAGAATTAAATTCATCCATAAAAATGACTCGTACATAAAAATTCTACACATCCGTAATACGAACAGAAAATGTCATCGGATACTCAATCACCTCATATTATTCAATCACTCCTAGACGTTTCATGTTTTAACGCTTTCGAATCAAGCAAAAGAACACAGTCATCCCACACAAATTTTTATAGTTGATAAACGATCATAATTTTAACTGACTTCATACTAAATTTAATATTTAACAATTTAATGATACCAAGAAATACTCTACCTCCGGCCAAAACTGGTCAGCTCTTGGACCTATGCTAGCTGAGCTTGGACCTAGAGTACCATATTTCCTATACTATACTTGGGTATTACTTGTACCCCCTTTATTCTAAGACCAGTGTAAAGTCAATGTCACGTGCTTATCATTAGACAGTAGTTCTCTGTGTCTTATATCTGTAGGTATACCGTGTACAGTAATACCCAACATGCACCGGGCAGTAGCACGCGGTCTGTTTCTCATTACAAGACCCTGTTACTAATTTAACGCAGTCTCTGCTGCCGGCTACTATTCTCACTGTCTACTCTAACTAATAGTAGTAGTTTACTAATATTGTTGGTAGCAGATACTTTAACGTAACGCTATATACCATCAATATTACTGTCAGAACTATAATTTGTATATTAAACCTTACATAAGTACCGCTACTGCAATTACTATTGAACGTGAACAAAGAATTTTATATTACTCAAAATTGTCTTCCTGTTTTGTTTTCTTGTTTCATTTTTTTTTTCGTTTTTCATTATTGACGAATCTGTGTTAAAACCACACTCGATGCTTACGTCCGTTACGCATAAACTATGCACATTGCTTCCAGAGACCCTGTGTTTACCGAGATTTTGTAACGCAGCAAACTCGACACGGAATTCTCGAAAGCGTGTTTACCCGCTTCCAAAGTATTGAAGCTTTCCAATTTTTTTATTTTACATTTTTCATTTTACATTTTTACTCAAATATTTTTCCGGATAACTAATCGCCCGAACGGTCAACGATGACAGCGTGGGAGATTGTCGAACGAGTGAGAGAGACAAAATAGCAATAAAAGGTTAATACGTAATAATATACGTAAGTTCTCGCGTGTGAAGTTTTTTTTTTCAAATTCCCCATTAAATTTCCATTAATTTCATTTTAAACAAATGACCGCTCGTACCAATGATTTCCCCTCGATCGATCAATCGAAAAATTCAATGTAGACCTAAATACACCCAGTCCTCGTTCTATCCGTATTTAACGTAGAATTATTCATCGCGATGAATGTTTGCACGATTATCCATGATTTCTCCGTCAGGTTCCAGGTTCAAGTATCGCGGGAATACTTGGTCACTCAGGGTCCAAGTCATTTATTTTCCATCCAATCCAGGAATATACACGAAACACGCATTCATTATACTAAGCAGGTACACATGCGACGTAAGTGATAAAATAAACACCTATAGGACCTAGGAAGATAAAAAATCGTAAGACTCAACGAAAAAATAAGCGTAACATTTGTTTTCGAAGAATTTAACTTTACGATTAAAAACATGGCGTCGCTGTAGGCACACGTGACGAGAATGACGTATTTGCCATCGAACAGGGGAAGGATTATAGTACCGGATTCCAATTATTGCCGATAGAGAGAGGTCAGTAAATTATAGTAATTAATAGTCACGTCGAATAGCACGTAGGTACGGTTCGCATAGCTGCTAACGTTCATTCGGGATAGTATGAATCACGTAGAATCCGCTATATGGCGACTAGTGTATATATATCATATATTTCTTTCTTTCGCTAATTTTCTTTCGCTTTTTGTATCCACACCTATGTACGACCAATTTATCGTTTTCTTGCAAGTGTCGTATCCCGAGGCGTTTTATTTTTTTCTTAGGTCACGATGATATTCATCGACATTTATTTTCAACCGGGCTTAACGCAGTCATATCGATAAATCGTCGCGACGTTACGTTATCGGCCAATCAGTATGTAAATTTACAGGGAAGCTGGGATACGGGAACTCGGTCAACCAAGGTTGAGAGTGACATGTATATAATAAAAAAATGTCAAGGCTGTAAGCGTACGGAAGGATATTAACATTTAAATTTACAAAAAAAAAAACATTTTAAAAGAGAAAGAAGACAAATTAAACACAATTCTAGAAATTTAGTTACAGTGAAATTTGATATGCTGCTTAGGCACTGTATCGCCTAGAACATAGTCCGTAGCTAATTTTTCTTGTCAAAATGAAAATTCTCATTTGCTCCTTAGCGGTGAGTATGGCTGTCAATGTTTTCGTCTACCTGCTTGCAAGACCAGTCAGACGTTTGCTGTCTGGACATTGAGAACGAGTTAGCGAAGAATCTTCACGTTTTGTAGAAAAGAACGGTTTACGGTTTTCTACGAGACTCGACTTCCACTCGTAGAGGCGTCCGAACATGATCTCTTCAGGGTCACGGACTAACAGTTAGGTTAACCGAGTTCACCGCCTAGTTTTTCTCTTAAACTTATACAATTCCTTTTTGCCTAGACCATTCGTCTTGTTCGTAACTTGACTGATCTTTGATTTAACATTTTGACCTGGAAGTTTTTCAATTTTTTACTTTGTAAGCATACGATTTTCCACAACGAGGTATCCATATCCTGTTTAGATACGGCGGTTATTGCAGCAGGGTCAACGTCATCGCATGCTCATCGATGCTTCAATGATATATTATATAAGACCTATGCGTCTGCCATATAAATTGTTGGAAAGTTTAAAAGGTGGTTTGAAAAATTACCATTAGTCGAGAAAACGTCAGAGTTCATTTAAACCGGGAGGATTGTCAAATTGAATTTTTAAGACTCTAGTCACTTTTTTTTTTCTGAACTCTAGATTCGTGGGAAACAAGTGTCATTAACTGCTTAAATACGTAAGACTGACGCCCACGCTTAGCCACCAATTGGAAATACAGAGAAAAGACATAGTAAATCTGAGAAAGAAGGTATACGGGCGTCCATTTTAATTCTTATAACATATCTCTAATATTAAATATAATTTATTGCAAGAGTACTGGGCAAGAACAAATCTCACTGTATATCATCGAATACCATAATCGTTCATAGTGACGCAGAAATATATTAATTTACGCATTAGTATGTATGACTGTTAAATATTCGTCGACATGTTAATAAGCCCTATGTTTCTCGCGTTTCTTCACGCTACCATAAAAATTGATGGATTTGTTGCTCAGGCTTCGACTTTTTGTACCCGAAATGGAAACGTCATTTTTTACCCCGAGCGTTGGCGAAGAAATCTCAGAGATCATACAAATGCACAATTCGTGATACTTCGTTTTAATAAAATTTTATAACATTTTTTTTTCAGATCGAATCGGGAATAACCGGCGACTTTGGAGCCGATCGATTCCCAGTGACTTCCGGTATTATTTCGAAGGACTCTTGCAGCACGATTACCGAAAAACCGTGCGCACACGAAATTTTCGAATGCGAAAAACGAATTTCCGGCGAATTCGAAATTTACATGAGAAAAGACGAAGCTATTTCACGGCAAGACTTTAGCTCAGGCCAGACGATCCTTGTGAACGTAACGAATCCGGAATGTAATTCTCAAAATATCGGTGAAGTTTCTACCTATTTTCAAAATTCAACCCAAGTCGCGACACCCTCACAGATTTTATTGTCTGCCGTTGACAATCATGCGAAGTGCACCGACGGCATAGGGAGCGCGGGAATTTTGAATAAGAGTCCTACACCAACTTTAAAACCAGAGCTGTCGTTACCTGTCAGTAGACTCTGCGACTCGACGCCCGATACGGCCAACACAGCAACTAGTACGATCACTGTTCCTACCGTGGATAACGAGAGACCAAATTCAACTGACAAAACTCACCGGAAGCACAGTGACAGTAATAACAACGAGGCGTCATCGGGTGATCATCGAATTCCCACAGTAAACACTGACGATCACAGATGCGATCAGTGTGGAAAAACTTTCGTGACCCGAGCCTCGTTAAAGGTAAGCAAGGTATTCAAAAAAAAAAAAAAAAAAAAAAAAAAAAAAAATTGTTTAACTTTATTCCCATCTCGTCGGTATAAGAATAAATCGCGAGGATGCTTTATTATGAAATCGGAAATTGGCGTCGATCTTCGGGCGAAGAGCGAGCGTTTCCAGAGTCGTAAGATAAATGTATACAGAGATGTGGTCCACTTTGAAGGAGTCCCATAGGTCCGGGCAATAAATTAAAAGTCATAAAATACAAACCAATAGACACGAACCATGTTAACAATTAATGCCATTTAAGTCCTATATACAGAAAATAGCTTTTACTAACATAACCAACGGTAATAATGTTCGATTGAAACGAACTGGCGGTACACTAAAAGTCACAAGTATAAGTCAGTATACCCCAAGCGAGTTAACATTGAAAAGTCTCTTCCATGCAATACTCAAAATACTTTCAAATGATACAAACGCTCATAGTGCCCGTCCGAATGAACCAAACTTGAGGTAATAAGTCTGATAAAAAGAATTAACTCAAATAGTTTCCATTGACCCAGTGAAAAATCTAAATTTTTCCAAAACCGAGTATCGTCCTGGATTTCATAAAAAAAAAAAAATTAAACCAGACAATTTTGATCTCATGAACATTCCAGGTACACAGTCGCACGCATTCGGGCGAAAAACCGTTCAGATGCGCTGATTGCGGCAAGGAGTTTTCGCAATTGCGAAACTACAAGTATCACCGCAGCGTGCACGAGGGTACGCGTGAGTTCGCAGCGACGTGTCCGGAGTGCGGTAAATACTTCAACGATCGTGGCTACCTGAGTTCGCACATGAAGATCCACCGTAATCGCAAGGAGTACGCATGCGGCGAGTGCGGTAAGAGTTTCAATCAGCGAGTGGCGTACAACATGCACGTGCGGATACACACCGGGGTGAAGCCGCACCAGTGCGATCAGTGCGGCAAGGCGTTCTCACGGAAGATGCTGCTGAAGCAACATCTCAGGACACACTCTGGCGAGCGTCCTTATCAGTGCCAGGTCTGCCACAAGGCATTTGCTGATCGATCGAATATGACCTTGCACACGAGGTTGCACTCGGGCCTTAAGCCTTATCAGTGCACATTGTGCACGAAGGCCTTCACAAAGAAACATCATCTCAAGACTCATCTCAATTATCATACGGGAACTAAACCGTACTCGTGTCCTAATTGTTCCTTGAGATTCTCACAGAGCAGCAACATGCGTACGCATTACAAAAAGTGTACTGTCAATAATCCTAATGGGATACAGGCGAGCGCGGAACAGAGAGCCAACGATAAGGATACCGACACAGCATCGTTGGTCCATGCGACCAGCAGATCTCGTAGCGCTGCACTTACGCCACCTAATTCGGATCAGGAATCCGGTATATATACGCCCGTAGGGAGAATCGTTACGGAAATTAGGCAATCTTAGGTATATACTGTATATGATTGGTAGTTTTTAACTGCTCTGTATAGTTGTGTATCATACTTGCTCGGTATGCGTGATCGGCGCATAATGACGATTCCTTATTATTTATTGTTATTTGCGACGACGCATTCCTCTATCTTGATGTTTAGGTAATCAAGTGAAAATAATATATTGCGCGCAGGCGAACAAGAAGTAAAACTATATTAGGAAGAAGATATGTCAAATAAAAAATATTTATATTATCTGTTCCTTGTGACTTGATCTCCCTCTTTTTCTTTCCAACAGTCATTTATGCTTTGTTTTACTTAATTGTGCGCACGTTGTTCCATGAGTAAAATTATCAAGTCTGAAGGACTCGTTTACCTTAAAAGGCATTGGAAGATGACTCCTCCAAAAGCTCTTTTATTCGTGGACGTACCATGCATACATTCTATCTGCGCCATCTCTATACTACTCGCCATAAGTTCTCGTTATATATGTATTCTATATACAGGATTAGTCAGTAGAACCGCACCAGCAAAAGTTGGCCGACACGGCAGTGTGGCCTCTTCAAAAAATGTCATGTGACTGTGACCGATTCTCGTAAGCGCAAACTGACAGTTCGCATAGCAATAAGGTTTTTGAAATATTACAATAGTTAGGTTACTAAAATAATTAATTAATATTGTAATGAAAAATCGTAATATCGGTTAAGATTTATTTTCACAACAGATTGCAATTAAAACAATGTAAAGTTTAAAATATTCACAATTTTTATATTTCCAAGTAACGATCGCAACTGCAATTCTGCAAGGCAATGCTGCAATTAATTTAAAAATCAATTAATTGAAATGTTTTTATAGCAAAAAGGTGCAGCAAAAAAATCTTTTGTGAAAATAAATCTTAACTGATATTACATTATGTCATTACAATATTAATTAATTATTTCAGTAACCTAACTATTGAAATATTTCAAAAACCTTATTGCTATGCGAACTGTCAGTTTGCGATTATGGGAGTCGGTCACAGGCACATGCCAATTTTTGAAGAGGCCACACTGCCGTGTCGGCCAACTTCTGCTGGTGCGTTTCTACTGACTAACCCTGTATACACTTCTTCATCTACTTACTGACATGTGACTGTATCAGTATGCATATAAGAAATTCACTATGTGCGTAGTAATACAGTAAAGCGTTAGTGAGCATGTGTAGATGTGTATATAAAGAACAAATTTATATCGAGCACTCATATTGTGCAATAGAAACGGCGAAAATAGTATGCACATATTTTCACACGTGTTCACTTAGGTATAGCTGTGTTTGTATGCACGAAGCAAATACGTATGAGAAACTATGAAAAAATGGTAATGCCATTGCCATTGAAATCTGCATGAGTTATTTTGTATTCACATTTCCTGGCTGTACCCACAAGTTGATAATTCTCTTTTTTTTTTAAAGTTCTTGTTACATATCCTATATTCAAATCGCATGTGAATTTCTTTTGACATTGACGGATCTATGTTTGCCTCCTTATTAAAACGTAAAAAAATTACCAGCCACGCATGTTATAATAAATTAATCTTACGTTATAGTCGGACACTTTACATCAGTCTCGGATATACGTGCAACACATTCGTATATAAATAATTACCCGTAATGCACTTCAGCGATGTATACTGGTAAATTCTCCTATAACCTCCAAAATAAAAAACAAATCTCTCGAGTCGTCAAATGTTTTCCACATATTTCGCACGACTCTACCGATACTATAGTACAGGTGTCGGGTCAAAAAAATCGACAAACATATTTTTTTACATCCCAACACTTAACCTAACGCACACAAGCTACATGCACGCAGAGATCCGATCGATAAAATTTTTTACTAGCGCCAATTTTATACAAATTATCAGAGCAGATCTGATGATCGAAGATAAAAATAACAAGCGAAAAATGCAAAAATAAAAAATCCGCAATCCAATGCCGTCAATCTTCGGGAGTCGTATATCCACAACCTAGTATCACATATATTCATATATTCGCTCCTGTTAGCGCATACATATACATATTATAGATACACATTACAAATGCTTTCATACGAAATACCACACGCGTATCTCTAATTAATGGATGTTCGAACGTCACCATCTTCAACACCCAATACATAACATGGGACCGATTACTTATGCAAAGTATCCTCTTTTGAATTTGCCGCCATTAAAAAGCATTTTGTAACCATATAAAATGATTGGTAACGGGCCCATTGAATTATCGACAATCATCCATGACAATTGGCACGTGTGTAAGTGTAAGTAAGCACCTAACCATCCGTATAAGAATCGCGTTTCGACCGTTACGCATTGACCGAATAAAATTCGTGTCAAGGGAAAGTGGTCGGTGTGAGCAATTACAGTGCGTTATTAATAATTGGGCAGAGCGACGTGACCGTAGACGAAACAATATGGACACACGTTAACATTATCATTGAAAGCATCGTTATCAGTGCGTGGCGATCCGATTAAAACGCAGTGGGACGTCTCGGTCACAGCAGAAAAATTGACGTATTCTTATTTTTCTCTCCGTCTGTCCCTATCTCACCCCTTATGTCACTACGCTACACTGCCTCGTAAGTAGTCGCTGTCATTTTCTTTCCTGTTTCTGCCGTTTCTTTCTTTTGCACCGTCCCATCCTCCGTCAGCCTTTATGCAATCGCAAAGAAACACTCTGGAACGTAATTCGTGCCTCCACCTTTTCGTGCCCTCTTTTTCCACCTCTCGTGGCATGCGACCATTCTGCAAGCAAGTAAGTAGAGACGGCAATTACACGGCTGTTCGTTACAATAATGTCGATTAATCATGCGTAACTATATGTATATACCCATATATCATCCACGTAAATTGCACATTCAAGTTGAAAAGTAAAGTTGATTATAATTTTTGAAAGGACCCCGCCGTTCTGTTTATGCATTTCTGTTCCGGCTCTTGTAGACAAAAAAGTTTTCTAAAAACAGAACAAAAAAGGTTTACATTAATTATCGGTAAACTATTTCGATCGGATTGCAGATTAATATGCTAATTGCCATAGAGAAAATAAAGGTGCATTGTGTTCAATTTACTCTTATTAATCACGTTGCGCGTGCAGTCTAAGTACGTATATATATATATATGGTATGCCTAAGGCATTAGCGCAGAGGTCCAGTTGAGAGATTACAAACCTATCCATAACCTACCCAACACTTTATGCCTGATTTTTTTTTATCAAGGCCATGTCTACTACAAGTACAACCGGAATTTCGCATCATCCAACCGGACAAAAATATTAGATAATACCCGTTAGAACAGGTTATGGTATCCTGGTTCTTGTGCAACGACTTTGACAGTGATGTGAAATTGTACAAATCTAATCTCGAAAATAGTACTAAACTCGTTTTAGGTTTTAGATTTGAGTACGTAAATGTGCATACAGATACATGAGACAGGCGTGTCGCGCGTGACTAACGCTCATTTCTATTTCTTTTATTGTCAGTAATATTAGTCATTGACATTGACCACGACGTGGAGTCACGTAACACGGGATACATAGATTAGCCGACTAGTGATATATGTATAGTGGAGGCTGTAAATGAATTAGTCAATAGAGATTACAAGAAAAAGTATGTAAAAGGAAGAAGGGGGGAACTGTCAATCAAAGACAATTTCATTAGATAGCAAAGTATAATTATTTGTATGGAGGATATTGTAGTAGCGGATTAACCTATAATTTGAATATGAAAGGCAATACTTATTTGTCATAACCTCAAAATGTTTCTGAGTATGTTTAGAGCGACAAAAAAACTCATATCCTTAAATACGTAGGAGCGAACAATACTTATTGAATTAGCACTGTATACTTAAGCCGCATTTATCTGTAACCACGTTATGTCAATATTACGAACTTCTTGACAGATCGTACCATCGTCGTATGACAAAACGCACTAAAATCAATCACACTGACAATCAGTATGGAATATCTCGAAGTCTGCGATTTCCTATTGGCTATTGATCATCGCCGGAAATGGGCCAGACGTGTCACTTTCGACGAATTACATGGCAGTGGTGATAAGGGATCGAGAGATCGATGTAAAGGCATTGGTAACGATGAATTTCAAAAACAAAAGTAGACAGAAAGTGTGAGAGAGAACAAAAAGGAAATACGCAAAATATTATGTACGTGAAAGGCTAGTCGGCGAATACATGCAATATTGTCAGATAATTAATAAGACAGTGACCTCTATGGGGCAGACTCGGGAACCAAATGCATAAGTATAAGAGTATCGAAAGAGTCGAGGCAGGTTCTCCTTTTTTTTAAATATCTTTATTTTATATCAATATCAATATTGTTACCGTATCCATGTAGACGGTTATCTTTGTCCATAAAGTCATACGACACTGGAGCACTTATTCGGTGTGTCACCATCCCCATGGGTTGCACATTCACATTGCAATTTCGATTCAACGAAGCTGTTTCTTCTTCCTGTCACGAGAAAGGACGCCCAGAGCCATTAACTTTATAGATCGTAAGGTATGCTAATGACGCGTTATGTATCACTTTCTAGGCCTCACCGGAGCGAACCAGTTTTCCTTGCTCGGGAATATTTAATGTACGGCCGATTAGGTTAGGTCGAGTCCTCGAACGCCCACCCGCACGTAGGCCGCCATTGTTACGTTGATCCGGTAAAGTAAGATAATCGACAAATTCCCGGATTCCACTTAACACTCCGTTCTATTATTATCCGCAGATTAACAAGAAAAAAAAAAAGAATCGCGCTACTTCATTTGCACAAGACACGTAACGATCTTTTTAGCTCTATTAGATTACCCAATAGCGAAGTCTGGCAGTTCGGACAATAGCGTCTGCGCGCATGCGCACATCAGCGCTGCCTTCCGAGAATCATCGAAAGTACTTCTATAGATCTTGACGAAATAGTCAGGGTGCTAATAGCAAAATGGAGTAACGATCATCGTGTCATTTGATAATGGATTTCACGTGAATTATCTACGCGCGTACTTTATGACGTGTACGTTTGATATATTGGCAGCACTTGACAAATAGCTATAAAAGATATTTCGACATTTTTTTTAACACTTACCCATGTGGAAACCGAAACGATGTCGATTGCGGAAAACGTATATATTTCTAATAGGATAATGTATTTTTGTTGGTTAAATCGATACGGTTCCTGTGTCTCAATGTTTGTGGAACAGAGATGGCGGAGGCGCGAGAGTATAATTGTGTAATGGTTAATGGGTCCTCTTTCGCCATTAAGAGACAAAATGTATTATAGTCCCTCTTCCAAGAAATCCTTATTGTGTACTCGGACTGTTCATTTTTACTTTTTTGTATCGCAGCGAGTGTATATATAGTATATATGTATACACATATATATAAAACATCGATTCTCCTTTAAGTGGCTGCTTTTCATGTTCACCAATCGTTTTGCGACTGCATACCGATAAGCACTCGTTGAAAATATCCGTGGCCTCTTAAATAGCACGTCCATATTGAATGTTTACTGAACAAAGCAAAACTGTATACAATAATGAGATTTATTACGGGTGTTTACCGCAACAATAAAGCATAAACCGGTCGTAAGAATAATTTAGAAACTGCCCTGGTAATGTAATAAAAGAAATTAGCAAACCTATTGAGAACTAGCAAATACTGTTATCAGGACAATTATATGACGAAGACTATAAAAAATAAATTAAACAAAATTTCAATATACAGCACACTACTTATATGTTTATACTATACACTATAGGCTAAAACTATAAATAGTCTATATATTTTCAAAAATTCTCATCTAAATAATGAATAAAATTAACGTTCTAAAAATAATTTTTTTTTTCATTACGTCAGTCCCCACCCACTCACCCAAATGTTTCCTCTATTCCTCCCCTTGAATTCAATCAATTAATTCACGCGATCGAAACAATTCTAATTCCTCCGCACCATACAATTCGATAGCTTACAATTCAGACCCGAAATATTAAAGCGAAAAAGATCTACTTTCGCGATTTGTCCAACCATTATGGTAAATACGTAACAATGTCGTGTAACCCACCACTGGTAGATACACGTATACACACATGAAACGTGTCCCAGGTTGATTTATGCTCGAACCGTAAAAGCCCGTAAAAAGCCTAGACAAGACAGAGTCACGTTGAACGTGGGCGTAGCCGAAAAGTGCAGCGACTTGAAAAGTGGGCCTGTTTGTCAGGTACATTAATCAATATTTAAATGCGACAAGAATGCACAAGTCGCGAGAGATCTCGATTGCCCTGGTTGACTCGTATCAAGGCGACGATATACATACACCTATAAGAATATCAACGCATTGCAAAACGAATTAAAAAAAAATTAATCATAGAACCGGACGATCGAACCAATAAATTTTGGTCCCGCGCGAAACACGATTCGGTGTATATCAATTTGTTACGGTGAAGCAGTGGAGGAAGCCGTAGTGTAATTTTCAAAAGCGAATCGATCAATATTTTTTTAAAAATATGTCTCTCACTGGCCTTTTAACCTTAAACATCGTCAAGATCCCGTTTCGAGAGATCGAAAGTGTACACGTAGATCGTGATCGAAACTTCACAGCGCTTGAGGAACATTCCGCGGATGCTTTGGGATCGAGACCCCACGATCCGATGGATTTATGTTACTTTTTTTTTCTAGGTAAAATCATCTCGCTGGAATTTTGTCTCTGGTGAATAAGGAAAAAGAAAAAAAAAAGAAAAAGAAAAAAAGATGAATTACCGACAACATTACTAGACTCATTATAACCTAACTGAGCCGAGTTCTCCTTGGCTTTTACTCGGCAGTTGGCATTCCTGAAATGTATATAGTCTATCTCTTAGTGTCCCATCCACGTGAGAGAGGAACAGGTTCACCAGGGATCCTGGGATAGCCAAGAAGAAGGTGTTACAGGTTACACGACCTTTTTAGATATTAATCTGAGAAACGTGCTACGCTTGTGCTTATAGTCGACTCCGAAGGTCACGGAAGCCAAAAGGAAGAAGATAGGAAAGAAAAGGGGAAAAAAGATTCAGGATCGCGCAGCATCGCCAGGAGTAATCTCATTTTGATGGTCACCGTATACAAAAGGGCTTAAAACAATAACGATGACGATAAATCACGGGCGATTGTTAATTTCGAAGAATTTTACATAATTTCACTTCAGAAGCCGCACACCCTGATTGTTGTTATTATCGCGTGTCACGCTCTAAGCTACTGGACTATTTTTAACGAGATAGCAACATTTATATTTCTTTTTTCTTTATTCGGATACTTTTACGCAATCGCACAACCACGTTATCTAATTTGTAATAATCGCACGACTCCCGAGCGAAATCGACGAGTTCTAAAAGAAATCGCAAAATTTCTCACAGAGAAGCGGAGAATGACGATCGAAGTTACAAGAATAGCCGTTAGAGGCGCTGATAATAAATAATTAATCGAACAGTCAAATACTTTGCAAGAAATCTCGTCCTCGTATAAACTAACTAAATAAATTTCATTCGATCTCTTACCTGTCAAAGGCCTTGTATTCGTCTGGCAGAGTAACAGCTACCGTAAACAGTGCAATGGGCACTTACATACAGTTGTAGATCATTAAAGTTGCTAACCACAAGTACCAAAGCATAGTTAGAGACGCTGAGAAAGGCAGTGAGAGAAATTAAACGAAATAATTGTGCGTCCGCGAGAAGTGAGGTTATGTCGGCACGTAACTACAAGTGACCAAGTAAACAAGAGGAATCACGTGGAGAGTAAGAAAGGATACGTCGTGACGTTCGCGGTAATGGTAGACTGCGTTTTAATTAAAAAGGACTGATTTACGCGTTTCTCAAGATTATTTCGGGTACAGAGTGTCTCGTGTGTCGCATGTGTCAGTGCCGTCTGTCCATCTCGCGGCGCTCGGTGGTACTTATACTCTTTCTTTCCCAGGCTCCCTCAGCGTTAATAAAACACGGCTTAATTGTACCAGGACAATTAAACCCGGTGAAGATAATGTCCCGCTCTTTCTCAAGGGAGGCTGGGATATATCTAATGGGACTAAGACGCCCCTCGAGACGTCGAGACGCTGGGACACGAGTGAGAATTCCAGAGCGTCATCTAAAGATCGTCGACATAGGTACATATGCCTGCGTAAAGCTGAGTGGACGTACGTAACACGAAAAAAAAGAAGAAATAAAAAGGAAAAGCAGACCTTTTTGGAAAGGTTACGTGAAAATCTTGAATATCTAACAAAATAAATGATTTTCTAACATTCCTGTAAGCATCGTCCCTCGAAAATAAGATGTATATCCAAATGACGTACTCATACATGTGTATATATATAACCAACATTGAATTCCCCCTTTTCCTCTCCACGTTCGTTATTTGCCTTTATTCCCTCCAGGGGCCAAGTGCCGGAATTTTTATTTTTCAGGTTACGTATGTTCCGTCAAACTTTAATGCCACGTTCGCAAGACAGGAATGTAACCATCGTACAGCAAATGCACTAAACGTCGTCTCCTTTTTGCGCGGAAATTATAAAAGTGTACATACTGACGTACTCAGTATTTTTATATAATATCTATACCTACGATGGAATGTGTCCTTACCATGTAAAATACAGCAAGGGATATAGCGTCCAGTTTTTAAATAAGAAAAATGCCCTCGTGCATACTGAAGAAAGTGATCCAATCTTCTGCTAGAAAAATAAGCATAACCTCAAAACATCTTGCTGACAACAATGACGCACAAACGAAAACGTATAAATGTGTCAAATCAATTCAATATTATCAATGGCGCCAACATTCTCAAATGTCAACATAAAATCTCTCTTTTCACTATTGCTCTCGATCGTACTTCCTTTATCTCTTAATTGCAGAGCACCTTATTAGCGTAACCAGTCCGAGCAGTCGAATTCGTACCTAAATATCAAGAGTCAACGGTATTATACTTTTATGATCGGTTTATGATCCACTCGAGCGGATGGTACGTTTCTGTCGATTAATTAATTACGCCACATACGTTGGGTACTTACGTTCGCGTACCTGTACAAATAAAGCCGTACGGGCTCGTACGTACACATACGGCGTCGCGAAATGTGCGTAAGGCGTCCTTTCACTTCGGAGACGCCTTGACATTTCGAGTGCACCTTCTTGCCACGGACACGCACAGTACTTGGTGTTTATGGTGCCCCATCGTGACTCGAACAATCAGTGGATAGGATTGAGTGCATCGAACGATGCATCTGGCTAGAACAAAGACGACGTGGATGAACCATTTTTTTTTTTCAATACCTGTTGTTACCATTAGACGTATTGTTATTATTGTACGCAGGTATTCGTATGCTGTAGTGTGAGTAGCATCTAATAATAACTTATTTATCTACTGGGAATGTACTAGGAATTACTTAGGGGTGTTCGGCTTCACTATTTAAATTCGTTTGAATCGTAAGGTGTGGCTTGGTTCACGTTGGATGCTACTTTACATGTATCTATGCACGTAGGTATCCGTAAGCTAAATACATATGTATAACGAAGCAAAGGTGCTTCTGGCAAATCATTTTGGAATGTCGCCACCGGGTTTTTTTAAAAGCCATTCTCAATCGGACGGATTTCAATAATGCCAGGCATTGGGAAGTGTCATCGACAAGTCCTCTTATCCGCATAATGATTGTATGTTAAATAATTTTAGCTGTGGTCTGACATTTTTCTTTGTCGTTTTATCAATCATACAGATTTTATTGAAATATTTCACAGGTCGATTTTTTTTTTTTTTTTTTAACGAATTCGGAGCGCTTAGGGCCGTTTCTTGTGGGTGCCTAAACAAGGGTTCTAATATTCGCGTGTACATAAAGCTGTACTGCCGCGATACGATTTTGGAAGGTTTTCGATAAACTCTGCGAAAAATGTACAGAATTTATAATTTTAAGCACGAGACTTAGACCCCGAAATTCGCCGTGTCCATTGCACATTTCATATTTTGGATCTCAAGATGATCAACACGAAAAGCGCGCAATTGAAACGCTGGACGGAAACTTCTTCCTTATGCCTCTGTATTGACAATATATTTTTTAAGTGACAATTAATTATTTAAAAAAATTCGCATCCGAGTCTGAGATTTTTTACACGATGCCACGTGATGAAATTATATTATAGCAACAGAATTATTAATTTCCGACGACCATCGTCTCACGCTCGCAATACCTCAAACGTACCAATAATAATTGCTGTATAGAAAATTCATTGGAATTAATGAATATTGTAAACGCGTATAAACGCGTATATCGTATGAACGCGTATAAACGTTCATTTGCAGCGGTTACGACCATCGAACAAAATTATTAATCATACACGAACCTCAATATGTTACTATTCATGTAATCTTGAACCTTGAAATTATCAAATGCTCTTTTTTCTTCAATCAAGAAACCATAATACTCGACTCGGCTCAGTTTCGCTTACAAAATGTTATTAGGTCAGTCCCATGTAATAAATTAATTCGTAACAGTGGCACTACTACTTTCCATCGAATCTAGCATTTCTATTTTTCGCTCGGACAGCTTCCCTGGACATTTCTCTGCGACATTCCTTATGTATTGAGATCATCAAAACTCTCGAAGCCAACTTTTACCAATCATCGATTAATTATCGACGAGCAAGCGACGTAACGTCACCCGACGACGCAACCCTAACTTTATGCGAAACCTTCATTTTTTTATTTGATCATTTTATCTTCAATGACAAAAAACTACAATCGTATTACGCACAAGGCTGCCTCCATTGTAGACATACGCGAAGACACTGATTTCTTCGTTCGCATTTCGGAAATGCTGTGCATACAAAAATTCTACATTCTACATAGAATTACTACAAGTTCTTCATACCATTAGCATCCTGTCACCTGCGAATGAGACTCTTAACAAAATCCCAAGGCTGTAGATTAATTACAATCTTTTTAAAAAAAAAAAAAATAAATAATTACAATCTTGTTTTAGGCGGTTCGCCAAAGTTTCGAGTCGTCTTAAATTAACTGGCCGACTGACAATTGACCTTTACTACTCAACCAATTGGAAACCATGACAACATTCTATCGAGAGCTAATCGTTTATCGTCCTTTGCGGGAAGGAACTGCCAAATGCTTATGTATATTAACGTATTTGATATTTTGGCTTTCCCCAAAAGTCATCCGTGCGATCGGTCGAGATATCATTTTTTTTTTTTTTCCATGAACAACGAATGCGCGACATTTATTTATACACACGATTCCAAAGGAAAAAAAGGTAAACGAATAAAGCTCGAACAATACATCACGCGAAGCAGAAACGCAAGCGAAATAATTTTCACCGATGTGAGATAAGCACGGCCGCCTGTAAAAAGGTACTTCCACACGGGCCGACAGGCAAGATGATCCCGTGCTCACGTTTATCCTTACTTCCCTGAGTCATTTGTTATTTCGAGATAACCTTTAAATTCACCTCAAAAATACCATATGTGGAGTTGACCATATATAATTGGCAATTTTATCAGAATTACAATTACGTTCGAAGATATAAAGAGTGCTTTTAATTACCTCTATAAATCTGTTTAATGAAAAAAAAAAATACAATTAAAAATAAATTTCTTAGAGCTGCGCCCCTCCGTCGCATATATGTCGAAATCGAAGATATATTTTCTGTCTCCGTAAGGCGTGCAAGAGCAAGAGAGACGCAGTACGCAAATGAAATTGACCGATTCGCAAGTGGATACAGTCGGATCGTGTCAGACACTGCACAAGTGTTAACGTTACCGGGCGTTGCTTTTTTTTTTTTCATCGTCCGACTTACGACTTATAACAATCACTGGCAGTTACTGTCACATCTGCAGGGGACAATCCTCTAGGTGGGTTATATGATAATTTATTCGATTCACCCAATATGTCGATCCATACTGATTTGCAATAACGAGTAGTCGGTCGATAGTTGCCAAATTAAATTCGAGGTCCGATAAAACTTGTTTCCCGTGAAACAGCTAACCTGTTCACGAAGTGACCATGGATGTGTTCCAATGCCGTGTGGACGAAATAAGAGCAAAGTCTTGCTATCCTGAAAGCCAAACGTAAATTGGATTAAATAGACTGGTAGATCTATAAATAAATAAAAGAAACAGACAACACTGCCAGAGATAATCATGTTTTCTGAATGAAAAGAAAAAAGTATTTTTAACAATAGTTCATACCTTGTCGAAAATAATAATGAAATCGAGAGTCAACAAGTAAATGCAAATACTTCCTAGACGCGATTCCCACGCAGTTAATGCAGCTCAGCATCCCGGTCCAGACGCAATCTAAATCGCCCATTAGAGATTATGAATGCAGTAGCAGTGGAGTTCTTCCGATGTAAACTGCACCAGCACACGATAAATGCTCTCGTGGATACACACAGCGAATAGCTGCGAATGCACCGTATAGAATCTTGCGCAAGTTTATTGCGTTTTTCCATCGAACCAAGAAACCTGGAAGGAAGATTAGTGTTAATACATTTAATCCTTGAAAGTTCATCAACTGCATTAAGGGTTACGTTAAGTACATCATTTATTATATTTAAGTATTGCAAACACATAGACAACCGGATTTCGCAAGGAATACAGTGCTTATATAATATATCTATATACGTAATAATTTTCATACTATTTTCCACTAGCATCATCAAAATGGATAAAAATACGAAAGATCACAAGAAACGACTTTTTCTCTAATGTTTTTGTGAGTTTGAAAAATCCTAAATAAAATCAAAAACAAATTCATTCCATAAATGTCAAAATAAGACACCCTGTATATACCAGCCATGGATAGTTAAAAAGTGAACGCCACGAGAAATGAAATACGGATATTTATAAATGCAATCAAATTGTATAATGTTTGACGAGTCGACAAGGTCGAGACTCAGCAGGATCTGCTGCCATCCTGGAGTTCTACGGGGGTATCCATTTCGATCCCATATATAAAAAAGAGGTATTACAAAAACTCAAAGATAATTCCCACGGTCCCTGTTCAGTTTGACGTATGAGTAACTTGGTAGCAAGTTATAAGTATAAGAAAAAGGAAAAAAAAATGTCTTTACGAACACTCGAAGATCAGTATGATTGCACAACCAGCCACTTTGCCGTATGATATTTTCATGACAATGATATAAAGTGGCTATATCAATAGGATAGTAGATTTTCAAGAAGTCATTACTGCAGACCGTATACAAATTAAGAGTAGAATATCCGTTGGCAAAACTTCAAATCGCATAATTGAGATTATAATTGACAATCGCAATTTGCGAAAAATCCAAGCCTACCTGTGTACATTTTGCCTTGAAACTGTATCATGAGTTCATAACTTCGTATAAATGAATTCAAAGTTTTGTATAGCTTCAACGATAAACATATCATACATAAATTTGTCATCATCAATTATTTAAGTATCATAGATCCCCTCAATTCAAAATGGTCCATTCCACCATCCATATTCACTACGAACCATACGCGTAACGCTCTCATAGGAACAATCCAATGGTAACTCATTTGTCTCAAAAAAGTGCTCAAAATTTATTT